CTCTCTCTCTCTCTCTCTCTCTCTCTCTCTCTCTCTCTCTCTCTCCCTCTCTCTCCCCCTCTCTCTCCCCCCTCTCTCTCCCCCCTCTCTCTCTCTCACTCACTCACTCACTCACTCACTCACTCACTCACTCTATTTCGCTCTCATTACGTGCCTGTATCTTCGTCGCTCTCTATTTTAAACTACCATTGACCAAACTCTACTCGAGTGTTACTAACGACAGGTGCCACGTGCCGCGTGTCTACTTCCAGCTTTCGCTTTCACACGATATTTGCTGCCGAAAGTTTTGTACACCTCGGCCGATGCACCTGTACTGTTTATTATATCAGTCGTGCTGAACTACAGCTCGATGATATAATTATCAATTAAAGTTCTCTGCGACTTATACACGTATTTGTCGATTTCTATTAATCGTTTAGTATTCTTTTATGCTTCAAATATTATCGTTCTTTTCTTTTTTTTAACAATAAGTTAAAACAACAAGTGAATAAAAAAATGATTGTGTCATACGACAGTTTCAGAATAAAACATTTCCTAAGTCTGAGAAACTCCAGCGCATTTCATTTAATTCAATAATTGTGCTATTCTCTGTGATGAAATGAATTGCAGAGAAAATATTGAGAGAGTGTGAGAAAGAGAGAATTAAAGAGAGAAAATGTGATGATGGTGTGCAATCGCGTTTCACGAGTTTTTCTCAATTTCCCGAGATATCTTCTTCAGTATGCATCATAAACTTGAAACTACGTATAAAGGTGACTCTACATGGTCAATAATATTGTCGTCAATAATATTTGTACCAACAATATTATTGATCGTGTGGTTAATATTGATGAATTGACGTAAAGTATCAACGGGTATATCTGGATTTTAAACATCAATATCGCTTTATTAGAATCCATGTATATCACAGTATATCATAATACAATAAAGATATTATACATAAAACTAAAGTGAAATATATTGTCAATAATACTGATCGTGTAAAGTTGTAAAAATATTAATATTGTCAATATTAAGCCCAGTTGCACCAACGTTACTTTAATTTTAAGCGAGTCTTTGTCCCTGTCTCTTTTCGATTTTGAAACGAGATAAAGAGAGTTTTAAGTTTCGCTTAAAATCAAAATAATGTTGATGCAACTGGGCCTTAATAATTCAATATTAAGTACTGGTTAGTATTATTGATTGTCATGTTAATCACATATGATACGCAACACACGAGAGCGACAAACTACGGCTCGATTATCGTTCAATATCACGCTTCAAAACAAAGATATGTATGAGTCCGACTTTACTGGCGCTACACAGTGGCTGTTATCGGTTTAACAATGATATCATATCGTGGACTTGTCTTATCAATCTAATGTATTGAGATCAAGCCTATGTGATGAATATAATAAGTCGTATGTATCAGTTTTTATAAAGGTGAATAATAATTAAATTTGCAATGCATTAAATTATATTATCTGTTCAATTAATGGATCTAGTAAATTATAATAGTAAATTATAATCATTGTTGAAAAATTTTTTAACGACACAAAGAATTTTAACAGATATTCTCAATGAACCAACACAGCCAACAGTTTCAATTCAACAACTAACTTTTTCTACATAGAAAAAAATGTTTGGTTGAATTAACTGGAATTCTGGTGGAAAATAAATGATCCAGAATTCTAGTTAGATCTAGAAGATTTCTGATTAAATCAATTAAAATTCTGGTTAACCAGCATTCAATAGATTTAATCAGAAATCTAATAGATTTCTGATCTTAATCAGAAATCTGATTCGTTCATTTTCCATCAGAATTGTAGTTAATTTCAACCAAATAGTTTTGATTACGTTTTTGATTTAGTTTTGGTTTTTGTAAGTGTATAATAATTCCCAATTACTTATGTGTTTGTTTAAAATAACTTTTATTCACATAATAATTATTTACTCTACAATTTATTAATAATTATTATAATTTGTACAGCTTTATTAATTTAACAATTATTAAAATATAATTACTACATTTATATATAATAACAAATACTTTTAACAATAATAACAATAATAGCGATAATAATAGTAATTAAAATTTCCAATTGTAATTGGAATTGTCTAATTACAAACAACAATTAATATATATAACAATTATTACAAAGGAAAGCTGTTTTAAACAAACAAGTTAAATTATCATGAATTATATTGGACAGCTACAAAAACAAGAATTAATGGAGAAGAAATTAGTTACAGTATCTTTGATCTCCAATGCGACATATCGATATGCGATAAATGTAGCGTAACTTGTCGCGTTAACGTTAACGATGCTTAGTATTTAAGATTAAAAGTTATTGTCAAAAATAGTATAATTTGTGCAATTAATAGTGCTGCTAAATACGTTACCAGTATAGCCTACACATTTCACAGTTTTAACCCACATGTTTTAACAGAATGACATTTTATCACGGTATATTAATATAACGCGTTCAATTTAACACAATTCTCAGTAAGACATTATTACGATCGAATTGTTTAATATCGATTTTTTTACTAGTTCTTGATTCTTCGCGAGAGACAATGCCCGCAAAGTGAAATTTCTAATTTTTTTTTTTTCGCAACTGTGTGTGTTGCGTATTCATAAAAGCGGCGGAGATACGCTTTATTAAACTTGGATCGATTGTTGCTGCACGCGTCGCACGGTCTATGGTTGACAGTGAATTAGTTTGTTGAAGTCGGTGTCGGCAACATCGTTGTTTCCATCCACCGCATGGATCGGAAAAACTTAGAAAATGTCTCACCCCTTTATTTGCAATTAACACGCGCCAACATAATTTTTATTCGTTTATTTATTCATTTTTCTTTTATGTCACGCGCAATTGTGTTCGCGTCACTTCGAAACGATCTCGACGAGACAGGCACTTTTTATGCAGGATTCGAGACTTTTCTCTCTTTTTTTTTCTCGGTTTTTTTTTGCTCTAGGGACAACCATACAGACGCCACGGTATTCGCGTTCTAAGCTCGTTATCGCCGTTATCGCTGTTTTTAGGCACGATCGAAGGGATTGACTTATTAAATATAGAATGCGGTGTATATGAGTATTCAAGTTATTTTTAATAACTTTATAAAGGGGTGCTATAAATGGAAAGAGGTCACGTGGTGGATTCGCAGGGCTAGCTTTCGCAGATCTAAAACAAGTGTTTCCACGCGAGTTAAATAAATCTGTCAACGGCGCTCGAGATCTATTGGCCTCACCATTCAATTCTCTCTTCGAGCATCTCGAGTGGGCGCGAGCTTTGAATTCCAACCATCTCTTTCGAGGATCATCGATTTAGATCTGATTGATCAACGACGAAACACACATCGCTGTTAGCTGTTAGCTATTACCTACCAGAACGTCGATAGGCTGTGATGTAAGATCCTCCAGCGTCCTGCTGGAGAGACCGATTATGGCGATTAAGTACAAGAGAATGCTGCTTGCTGTTAAGTTAGCGCAACGTAATAGCTTGAGCGGTAGAGTGGCGAACAGTAGATAGAGAAGTAGCAGCATCCACGCCAGGCTGTCCATCGGCGTGACCTTGTTGGACTTGAGGAACAGCTGAGCGGACAAGTGCACAATCCATAGCTCTCCGACCACACACGGCACCACCGACCAGAGCGAGTTACGCGCCTTGGTACCGCTCTCGGCCCAAATCAACAGGAAGAAATTGAGGCTGAGGAACACGGCGCTGACGCAACGCGCCGGCAGCTCCATCCCCGGCGTCGACACTGTATAGAGGCCGTACAGGATCGCTGACATCAGGAAACACGTGAGGCCGCCGCGACGTTGTTGCAATGATGACGCACGATACAGCTTCTCGAGGCGGGCACTGCTAAAGTTCGTCTTCAGCAAGTTCGATGGCCTGCCACACCTCAGGTAAGAATCCTCATTCGTTGGGGCCTGCTGCGACATGGCGCCGGTTTAACGCTCGTCGTCGACGTCGTCTTCAGCTGAGCGCGCACCACGGTACCGTCACATTACTTCTCTCGTCACACTCTACCGCATCACTATGTCCGCCTCTACAGAAACAATTGACTGATCGCAGCTATCTTCTCTTCCTCCTTCTCGTGGATGCACATGGAGCCTCCGTGATTTCCGGGATGACGCACTTTTCCGTAAACACACTCACACCCGGGTGAAATCCCAGATGATATCCTCTTCGTCGTTCCACTACCTCGCCGTGAAACGAGAATAGATAGGGGCGAGGGTAGCTCGTCTTGGCCTGCGACTCCAAGTTTGATGGCCTGAACGAGCACCTGAACGGAACGCGTTCAGCGTCCAGGATTCTTCCGAATTCGCTGACGCAGCTGTTACCCAGAAGATAACGCGGCACACGTATACTCGGACCGAGCACTATTCTCGCACCACTCACGCAACGTACACGTACACATGCGCGCCAAGATAAACCAAACTCGAACCTTCTCTCTCGGGGATGCAATGCCTAGCACCCGCATGTGCACTAGCTAGCCGGGTTGCTACTACCGGCGCGGGTTTCTACTATCTCTTCTGTACGACCTATCTATCTCCACGACCGTATGTACGTATATACCTCGACACTCTTTCACCCTCGTCGCTACCCTCCGTGTCTCTCTATCTATTTATCTCTGTCTATTTCGCTCCCAACGCCGCTTTCCTTCTTGCACCTCGCTCCCGTCCACGTCCAGGCGTGCGCCTTGCGATCCTGACTGCTACACGACCCTCCGACCTGGGTCGATATCAACTACCACAAACCCCAGCAGTTGATACCAGGCCCTACCTGCGCCTCGTTTACGTCCTATGTATCCATCGACCTAACTATACCTCCGCACGCACGGCCTCATCTTCCTGATTTCATCTCGAGTTCATCCCGAAGTGACCGAGTTTTTATTTTATACAGGCACAGTTGGCTCGCGCAAATCCCTTTGGGCATTATGAGCTTTATAACTTCTTCCTTAGTTCGATAGTTTCAATCATTCACGATTTGATTAGTTCGAAGAATCGTAACTAATCAAATCGTGAATGATTGAAACTATGTGATCGACGAGTATTACGATTTGATATCACGAAAGAAAGAACAATGAAATAATCGATACTAAATTGACTCAAAATTATTACTAGAAATATTTATATACTGATTTTAATTATGCAAATTGTATCATAAGTTAAATGTATTTTTTTCGAAGAAGATAAATTAAAAATAAAGTTATTTGAGTATCAATAGTTTTAAAAAATGTTTAATTAAAAATAAATGTTTAATATTTATAAAAATAAATTTTTAATTTATAAAAGTCAATTTTATTAAAGTACATAAAAATTGATTTAGATACAAATTTGAAAAGATGTTAGACCATTAAAATAATAATGCAGGACGTTCAAATGTACAACAATAACATTTTATAGTAACCAGCTTGGACGTCCTACATATTTATTTTAATGGTTTAACATAATTTATTTCGGATTCGTATCTGAATCGTAATTTTTATAAATCTCAAGTTTTTTCTGTCCTTTTAATAAACTCGTGGCAATGTTGAAGAATAATACTTGTACTTTTTTTTGGACGTATTGAATCTTAATAAATGATGTCTTACAATACAAAGAGAACGATTTTACCGTTTCTAAAAATTTAATTAAATATAAATCTGAAAATAATTTTGGTGTATTATCAAAATAATTATGTAAAACAGCTAGTTTCTAGAATATCAAAGTTTTCTACAGCATTGCTCATCATAAGCTTAAGTTTCATATCTTCATCAATTATTTCGATAAATCCAACAGAATTATTTTTAGATATATCTAGCTAATTTTTTAAATGCCTTAGCAAAATCGTTCTTTCCATGTAAATACTAAAAGAAAATATCACTTATATCAGGATGATCTGTTTACTAATCATTAGGCGACGCAATTTAATAATCTTCATTAATCTAATTACGTTTCAGTAATATGTTTTGTTTTACTTCTTGCTTTTCTTTTTATTGTGATTAATTCTTTGTGTAATAACTTCATTTGAGGCTATTTCCTTTTATATTTTAGAACTGTTTGCTCAATTTTTATGAAATTTGACTTTAAATCCATTAAATAAAAAATAAATTCAAAATGATGAAGTCAGTATGATCGACAAAATTTTTTTTAAATAATTTGATAATTTAAAAAAAACGGTCTGTTTTTAATTGCGAAGTATAACATCAAGTTTCTAATTTTGTTTTATTTAAAGCTCATCGATGCAACAAATAAAACTACGGTAAAGAGTTAGTATATATTGCTTTCCAAATCTAACTTTCAAAATCTATCTAATTATGAGTCCTCTGACATTAGATTCTCGTTCATAGAGTTAATACATTTTTTAATTTAAACTATACATTCAATTACTCAGATATACCAATAATTTTATAAAACCAAATTTCATGATAATATTTTATATAGATTATTTTTTAAATTTTAAAATCAGTATGATGTAAATCAAAACATTTGAGATTTTGAATTTGTCAATATATTAATAGTGATATTGTGCACTGACATCGTGCTTGTTCTGTATTGATCTGTATTGTTTCTTATTTAAATTTTAATTCTTTGAGCCTTCAAATACTTCGTTTAATTTTTAATTTTAGAATTCTAAAAAATCGAATTCAGCAAAAGCTTTTAGAAAGCAAGATCTTCTATAAATTTTTTAAACTTTAATAGAAAATTCCGGTCTTCAAAGGGTTAAAAGCGTTTTGTTTTGCATAGCGACATGTAAAACTATTTCGAGCATAGTTTATCGATCAATT